CACACACACACACACACACACACACACACACACACACACACACACACCATATAACATTTTGCGTTTAACAACAATCAAGAAAACGGTTTTTTTAAACAATAGATAATGAAAACAACAAATAATGATGTAAAGAAATTAACAAAAATTTACCAGCTGAGGCTGTAGCATATCGTATGGTAGCGCGGAAAATTTTCCATTTGTCAACTCGACTCTAGCCGCTTGTCCTCACAAAGACTCGTTTCCGTCGTGTCTTTGCCTTGAGCTAGATTTCCATCATTCTGCCTGCGCCGCGACCGTGTTCGTTTCGTATTGTTTCGTATCGTTTCATTTCAATTCGTTTGTGTGCGTGTCGTGACGATGGAGTTTTTACACAGGGAAAATAGAAACGTGAAAATCCATCAGTGTGGGAGAGAGAGAGAGAGCAAAGACATTCTAACGAATTCCCCTTGAAAACATCGAGATTAAGTTGAATAAATGGAGAATTTTTCATCAAAACATACAGAGCGGCTACAGCTACAGTCGGTAAGGGGTACTAAATTTGATTCGATTGGTACTTTTTTTTTCTATCCTACATTTTTGTTCATCTTTTTTTGGGGAAAAAACTGAAAATTTACATTTTTTCGGTTGATTGGTCCGGACTTTCGCTGGTGACAAGAATTTGTATGTCGGCTTGATTGGCTCGGTGCGGTGGCGGCGAACCAAGTAATTTAACTGGTATTCGCTCTCTGGTAGGACTGGCCTGCTGAACAACCAGCTGGGGAATAATTAAATTTTTTGGTCGATTCGGTGACTTGGGCGACCTTTGTTCGGGCGTTGGCGGCTCAATATCTATCAATATATTTGTATCCAATGACACTGTCGGTCGTTTTGGAATTGGACGTAGCAACGGCGGTGTATGTTTGTTCGGTATACCAATTGTGCTCGCATTATCTTCGTTCACAATGACTTTCACTAAACCGCCATTATTCTAAACCCATTTCAGAAAATGGCAAATGACAATGAGAGAGAGAGAGAGAGAGAGAGAGAGAGCGGGAGAGGGAGAGGGAGAGAGAATGAGTTAGAGAAATGGAGAAGCAAATTGTATTGCGTTGCCCAACAATTGTGTTGGTGTATGTGCTTTAAATGGTGATAGTGAACGTGTTTGCAATTTACACTCACCTCGATGCGTTCAACTGAAAGCTTTTCATCGTCATCACTAAAATTATTGGAAAAATGTCGGTCATTATGCAAAAAGCCGGAAAATCTTTGTGGTCGTGACATGATTGGCGTTAAAGCTGGTGATGGAATGGGCGTTGGTAGTTCCCGAATGGGTGATAGACATTTATTTGTGTTTGAACTGGGTACTTCGAGCAAAATTGTTGGCGGATTTAATGTGTTATTGTTTGTATTGCTTGTAGACGATTTATGAGCATTTAATGGATCTAAGACAGGAACTTCGATTGAAATGCTTGGCATATGATACGAAATTGGTGAATCGGGTGCACAGCTCGTGTAGCTAATTGGTGTATGCATCGAACTAGTCGATGATGAATCATCGGCAATGTCCTGTGGACTGGATGCCGACGGTGTTGTTGATGGTGAAATAATTAATGATGTAGGCATTTGCGACAATACATTGGTTGATGTTGTGAAATTTCTAAACATTGCCAAAATTGAATCCGCACTCGACACCTTCGGTTTGATGCGTCGCATATTTCGTAGCCCGATATCGTTGATGGTCAATTCGGAGCCGGACAACGATTCACTTCCCTGATTTGAGCATGGTCCATGCGGTGACCGGGAATCGTTTGCACTTGGTGTCGGCGGCACTGAGCTTGGACGTGGTATCATTTCGGTCGATGATCCTACCGGCAAATTGAGCGCTTTGAGGTTTGATGTACTCTGTTAAGGAAAAACAAACGAAATTTGAACACAAAAGCAGAATTGGAAAAGCATTAATTCATTTTCGCAATCACAGCCAATTAAATAAATACTAAGGAGATCCTATTGAACACAAAACACACTATTTCTTTGTTACAGACAGATACAGGTATACACATAGATATCGATTTTGATCGAGTGAGCTACACGTGTAAACATTTGACATCGATATTAACCTCGGAACTAAGTTCAGATGATACTCTACTAAAAAGACGAGCAAATGTGACTCTTTTCTCGTACTTAGCATCGAATGATTGACGTTTAGCCGTGGATGCTTCGTCAAAGTAGAATTCTGTGCCAGAATCTGAATTTAAGTTTCCATCGGCATATCTATCGGCGTGTTGCTCGTATAGCATGGCTAAGTCATCCAAGCTCATCTAAATAAAACACACACATTTTGTGCTCATCACGTGTACATTGAATTGCTCATGTTTTGTTTATTCGAGTGAAACCAAAAAAAAAAAAAAAAACAAATCAACCAACCAAACTCTCACAAACGAAAATGTTCATAATAATAAAAAAAGAGAAATCAAATCTAGACAAAATATGGTGATGTTGACGTATGTGTTCCAAATTTTGATAATAATGACTTTTGGTTTTCAGTTTCGATTCTCGTATGCAATTACCTTCGGTCGATTGCCTGTGTCAATGGTTGCGGGCGCGATAAGCGTTTCGAGTATAAGTCGTTTTTCAACGGCGGCACGTGTTTTGGTCGGTGTTGAATTATTTCTCTTTTTTCGGGCCGGCGATGGTGTACCTTTTTAAAATTTATATTACAACGCATTCAGAATGGCAATTAGTAAAATTCAACAACGGGCTTACTCAAACCAAAGTCTGACAAAAACAAATTATTACAAAACTTGAACGTATCATTTTTTTGTTGTCATTAAATACAATATCAATTAAGTGTATAAATATATTCAATAATTAGAACGATCGAACGAAAGAAGTGAGTTGAACGAAAGTAAAAATAAAATCGGAAAAAATAACCGAAGAAAACCAGTAAAGGGAAAGAAAAGAATACATTTGAAAATACGCTACCAGAAATAAAAAAAAAATCATAATAACTACGGAACAGATAGACAAAGATAGAACGATAGATAGATATATAGATAAAATCTGATTTCAAATTTTGGAAGTCATAAATGAAAAGGAACAAATTAATGCAAGCAGAAAGGATGCAAAGTTGAAGGGGAAAAAACGTGCAGTATTATTATCATTATAGTGCTCTTTGCTGTTGCTATTGTTTTTTCGACTTCAATTTTGTTTTGTTTTGCTCATTCCAACTAGCACAATCGCAACGCATAATGAAAACAAACAATAAACCAAAACTGAATAGCGGAACATACACAATTGAACACACTTGAGAGCATGCAAGCAAAAATAGAGGAAATGTTTGCAGTTTGTATTACTGATAATTACGTTTTGTCTTTTGGCATATGGCAAGTGGGGGTTAGTGAGAGAATTTTTTTTTCAGACATATTTTTTTTATATTTACACAGTGAACACAAGTTTTAAAAATAGGTTTTTTTTGTTAGCATAGGAAAAAAGAAAAGAAAGAAAAAAAAAGAATACAGATTAACATTTAATTTGGTGCATTTTTGCCTACCAGCAGCCACTTAGATTTTGTTTTATAAGTACAGACAGGAAGTTTTTTTTTGTTTTTCTCTTCTTTTTTTTGTTAGATGAATGTCCAATGAAAAAACATGATTTGGAAAATAAACTGATAAAAATGGACGGTAAACCAAGAGAGTAAAAATTAACGGGCGAAACAAAAAAAAAGAATAGAAAAAAATGCATCTTTGTTGTTATTATTGTACAAGATGAAATCATATGAACGGGATCATATTTACATGAGCGCTAGTGCTTTACATCTGTTCGGTTGTTTATGTATATAAATTCAATCATCGGATTTTTTTTGTTGGTTTTCATCGCATTTATGAATATCAAAATGAAAAGTCAAAAAAATCAACGAAACAAAAGAATGAAAAAATCGCGAAAAGTAATTAAATTTGAATGTAACAACAAAAATATGAAACCCAAAAAATAAATGATCGTTTAAAGCCAGATTTGATGCCCGAAGCAGCGTTTTTCCATCATTTCCGTAATGATTTCGTCAACGTATGACGATCAAACCAAATACGATGTATTCGGAAATGGTAGATTTTTCATGAGCAGACGGATTTGCGGATGTGAATAAATAATTTTCGGTTTTTGGCTTGCCGTTGATGTGAAATGTACAACAATTCCCTCTGTACTTAACTCGCATTAAAATGGTCTGTTGGCAAATCCATTGTTTTTTTTTGTCATTTGCTTTTGAATTTTCAAATTGGCTGTGAGTAAGTGAGCGAAAATTAGAAGAAATAAGAGTGAAATATCCTATAAAATTGAAAACTCAACGGGAAAAGTGTTGTTTCAGAGTAAAGTTATTTTGTTCGATTTACGTTTAAGCGGGATGCTTCAAAGAAAAAAAATGCAAATATATAATCAAAATGTATAGAGATAGAATCAATTATCAAGTATAGTCAAACGTACAAAGTTAGATTATTATCGAGAGCAAAGCTATAAGTTGAATCAAAAAAGTGTGAAGAATCGATTGTCATTCTCAAAAGCGCAAAAAATTTTGATTTAAAATAAAGTTGTTGTTTTGGTTGTACAGTGCAAAGTTAGTTGTTTTTGAATATAAGAAAAAAAAGATGGTTGATTACAAAGTATATTTGTTGTTGTTGTTATTGAAGGAAAAACCATTTTGGTGTAGATACAAAAAAAATTTTGTTCAAAAACAATGCTTGAAATTGTGTGTGATTTTGGAAAATAAAACACACTCGAGAGAGATAAACAAGTTCTATGCTTGGAAATAAAAGAGATTTATATATATATATATATAATATAGAGAGAAGTGGAGCAAGATAGAGTAAAATGAGGGCAAGCGTTAGATTTGCTTAAAAAAAAAATCAGAGAATACTTTTGTTGCTGCTAAAATAGTTGTTTGTTTTTGTTTTGGCGGTGTTTAGAAAACGAAACCACAACAAAAATGAAGAAAAACCAAAAATGTGAAAGTGTTGGAAATCAAATCAAATTCCGGCCATCGGGATTTTTTTTTGGAAAAATGGAACAGGGAAAAAGAGATAGAGAAAAGAATGCGAAAAAGTTTGTGAGGAAAATGTATCAATCAGAAGATTTGAAAAAAAACAAACAGAGAATTTCCAATTTAAAACGAAAAGAGGAGAGAAATTCGGATAGAAATTCATTAAATGATTCGAATTGGAAAGTAAGAACAAACGTATGATAGAAAAGTGCGCAGAGAAACAACATTTAAATGTAATCATTGAACAGAAATCATCAGAAAAGAAGGAGAATAAAGAGAAAGAGAAACAAATTGCATGATGAATCATGGAGAGAGAATAGAAAAAAAAGAGAAAGAAAATACGGAGAGAAAATGAGGACAAGGAAAATTAAACGAAAAAATCGCAAAAAAGAAACCGAAAAACTTCTGCTCATAAACGAGATAAACATGAAGAAAAAGAAAAATCATGTGATATGAATGAGATTCTCCCGTTATTGTTACAGTTAACGTGCGTTTCATTCGTTCGTAATGTACACGCGGTAGCGTCATCGTCAAAGCAGCACCAGCAGCAGTAGGAGCAAATCAACACAAGGATCATTTATTATTTAAACAAGCCTTGTTATACATTTTTTTCTGTCTTTCGCTCATACCCACACGCTTGGCTCTTTGACGCTCGGCTCTTTTCTGTTTTTCTATGTCTCGCTTTATGTGCAACGCTCTCAAGCTTTATGCAAAGAGCTTGAGAGATACGAACGGAAACTTTCTGTTTATCTCATTTAAGCTAAAAGAATGAATTTTCTGTTTTTCGTTATTTTAGTTGGGTTTTTGTTTGTTTATTTTGTTTTTTTATTTTTGATCTTTCGTCATTCGATTGACGAAAGCATTTTCTGTCTGTCTTACGTCGTGCAGGAGGTCGCAATAGATCATCTAATGAAAATGTTCGAGCGGTTTCTCCTCCTGCATGTGCATGTGGGCTGCTGAGGCTCAAAATTGATGGTTTTCGTATACCCAATCTGCCGAAAAGCGTTCGTGCCGTTCCCGGTGTCGTTGCTGTGGACTGTGGCGCTGAATTTGTTATTGTGAAATGCAATTGCTCACGAAGCGATGGATGATGATGATTATGTAGATGGTGTATTGAGCCGGGCGCTAAGCAGAGTCAAATGAAGATTTTCGGAAAGATAGAGAGAGAAAAAAGAGAGAGAAGAGAATCATCAAAGTATGAAAGTCATCCATTAGTCAAGTCAGTCCAAGCAATAAATGAGATCGGTATATGCAAGCCAACAAAATCCAATGAAAGCACTTACGCCGATTTCGATCAGCTTCCTCGGCCAGTAATTTTTCGATTTTTTCCGGGAAATGCCGTTTAGCACACCACACCAATCCGATGAATGCCAACACCACAAAAACGGTAATCAAACCCAACCAAAATGGCTCTTGAAGCATTCGCTCCGATAGCGGTTTATATGGAATGTGCATCATACGTCGTTCGCATCGCGTACCTTCCCACCATGCATGGCATCGACACTGCCATTTACCATTCTTTTCGAAGCATTCACCTCGACTCTCGCACGGATTATCCATACATGGCTTCTGCTTTTGATTGCACGTCTGACCCATGTAGCCTTGCAGACAGTGACACTATTTAACACAAACACACCAGAAAAAAAGTTTACAAATTTTTGCGATGAGTGTGATAACAAGAGTGTGTTTCGTTTTCAAAACACAGAGAAAAAGTGGACGAAACGAAAAAAAAAAGAATTATGTTTGCACAAACTTTGAATGAGGTCGGCGTGAGTTCGCATTTTCCAAAAATGCATGGCTCCATTTCGCATATCGTCAATGCACAAAACCTACCAAACCAGAGAAAATGACAACGTGAATTTTAATCTTGTTTATACATATTTTTGGTTGTTATTGGTGTGCGTTCATTTACCGTCCAGTGAAATGACCGGTGCATTGGCAGCGGTTCACATTTCCGTTCGATATACATTTGCCATTTATACAGGGGTTCGGATGACAAGACTCAACCTCATCATTTCCCGTTGCCAGTTTATACTTGTAATTGAAATCTGCGGGAAAAAAAATAATCATGGAGAGCAAGAGATGGAAAGCATGGCTCAATAATGTACGTTTTTACGTAATGCGATTGCGTCCTTGGATTGCAAACCATTAAGAGTTTTCTATTACCTGGTTGCACTCGAACACTTGCATTTAGATTGAGATTAATCGAATCAGTTGTTTTTTGTCGTATGTTTATTGTGTTGAGATACGATGTTATGTGAATGGGTGATGGTAACAAGATTGCATCGCCTTTGTAATTATCCTCTAATGTCGACAGTTTGCACAGATTCCAGAATGATCCATTAATGTCAGCATAATTATCGTAAATCTAAAATATAATGAAACATGTGTATATAATTAGTGTGGTGTGTGCGTGTTGAGTGAGTGTGAGTGTGTATGGCAAATAAATTCTGCGCATTGATTACGAACTTCAATTCGGTTTGCAATGTGACAGTCTGCTTCGCTAATTCCGACATTGTGCACTTCTAATAGAATTACTTCGCCCAGCGGAGCGACAATATGCTGAGTGAAATCAATATTGGATGGTTGCGGTTGTGGATAATTTAAATGATTCAAAATGCCATTCGCTTTATTCTGTAGTATAATACTGCGCTCCTCTCTGATCCCCACTGCAAAAACATTTTCCAGCGCACACACAGACAGCAGACAGCGGACATCGAAGCGAAGGCGAGACAGAGAATGAAAGATAGAGAAAATTCAATAAATTTTGCCAAACAAATTCAATTAAAAACAACCCGAAAAAGCCAAAAGATAAAAATGAATATGCTTACTCGTTTTATATGCTAAATTGAAGCCAGTGCCTTTTGGCTTGTCGCCAGTTCGCAAATGGATCGTAACTCGATTTTGATAACTTACAAACACACCATCGTTTAGCTGTTGTACATTTCGGAATGGAATAAATGGGCCTTTGCCCAAATCGATTTCCACAGTGACATCGCGAACCAGGTCAAACGATTCAAATTCAAGCCAAATTCGTTTATTGTTCGCTGCATAAATGACGTACTTGCAATCTAAATGATTGAGTAAAATGTTCGGAAAATTCGGCGATTCAATGGAATTGAAGTCATCGCTGGCGGTGTAGGTTTGCGTTGGACAACCGCTCGTGCTCACTGCTTTCCATGACATCGAAAAACCCGAACCCGACACGGAATAATCACTATGGAAGTATATTAGAACGGTATTGGTCGCACTGATGAAATCAAAACGGCTCATGTTCGATTCATGCGTTCCACACCATCGAACATACGGCAAAAAAGACGGTTCGATTGCAACTCGCTTAGACAGTGATGGTTTGCGTGGTTGAATGCTGGAGTTTCGTTTCCTACGCTCATTGTATTCACTAGAGTCGTCGGCATCCCTTGCCGCATCCAACAAATATTCATCGGATAGGTAGTTGCGATCATTGTCTGGCGTGAGCATTGCCATTGATTTGGCCGTCAATCCAGATTCGACCATTTGCTCATAGCTTTCATCATCCTCAATGCTAATGTAATCGTACAAACAATCGTTCTGTTCTTCCAGATCAATCTTTGTGAACTGCAACACCAACCGCGTTTTCTCCGGTCCAATCAATTTCACATAGTAGTTCGTATTGGCTGGATACAAATTCGGATAGTCTGAGAAAGAAAAACCAATCGATTCAATAGAATATTCCATAAGATAAGGAATTTGCACGATTGATTAATGGAATTTCAATATTAAATTCTATTTACTTGGTGATGTTAGAAGTCCTTCGGTGCCGGTGACGGTTTCATTTTCAAAATTCACTTCGAGATTGTCTTGACTGCGTCGCTTACACACGTAGCCACCGAATTTTGTGGCACAATGATCGGCAGTCCAAAATAATCCCGACGGCTGCATTGGTGTGCTCGATACTTTCCATTGCAAGCCGAGACACAAAGCCTCCTTTGAAGTTTTCTCAGCATGACGTTGACCTTGAATCCATCCCTTTTTATTTCATATACAAAAATAAACATAAAATCAATAAAAAAAAACATCCATTCTCTACTCGTACACTCTCCATTGTTATCCAAATGCAATACAATACCTTATATGTTAGGTTCGAGCCATCATTCCATTTTAAATGCTTGTTTGACTCGAATTTTCCGCCGAGCCAATAAATTGTTTGCGGTGAATAATCCAATTCGTTGCGAATGTTTGTGGTAATGAATCTTAACGAAAAATTCATGCGATTATTTTTAGACGTATTCGTTCGGTCATAAAATATACATATACATAGGTACAACGATAGCACTGATTTATTTAAAATAGACCTTACCGTTGCTCTTCGGCTGTTCTTATTGATGCCAATTCACCATGGATCCCGGCACAAACTTGTTGGGCAGTAAACCAATCCACTTCGGGATACGAAACGAACAAGTAGCAAGTACCATTGAATGGTTTTAATCGATCGTCGGAGCATTTTGAGGCGGCTAATGGAGTGCAAATGAAATTAATGTAAGTGCCAACGTCTCTCGCTCTCGAAGGACGAACAAGTTAAACGATTGATTACATTACCATTTTTGATAACGACTTTGGCTTTGTAGCCGCCAAAGTGATGCGAATAATCCGATGAAAAATGTAATCCAAGTATGGGTCCGCTGCTTCGATATCGAAGTAATTTCACCTTTGAATTCCAATCACCGCATATTCGACGCGGCGCGTTCACATTTAACGATTTATCAAAATTGATGCCCATTTCCGGTGTTTGTATCAAATAACTGTGGTGGCTTTTGTAAATACTGAGAAAATTCTCAAAAATATCCACATTTTTCAAGAAATTGCTTTCATTGTGTCGTCGAACATTCTCCGGCGTGTGTTGTGCGTAATGTCTGGCATTATCGTTGAATGCGTTGCCATTAACCTTGTCGCTGCCATTATTACCATCGTTGCTGTTCACAGTGTAGCTATGATCACTCGGATGTGAGTCAATGATTTCCAGGTAATCGTATGAGCATCTAAAAGTGAGCGAGATAGAGATGGTGTAAATCGCATTTCAAAATGGAATCAACGCATCAAGCCAACAACATGGCGTGAGAGAGAGCCTTTCAGCCGCATCATTGTCGGATCAACACATTTCTATTCAATTGCTCAACTCACTGTGGTTCATTTTCCAGTACGAATTCCTCGAATTCAATGGCAATGTAGAAGCCTTTCGGTGCGATTATGACGGTGAAGCAGTTTGTTTTGTCTGGATAATGTGTCGGAAAGCCTGGGCTCCATATTGAAGCTCGTAAATGGTTGTGGGATAACACCACCGTTTTATTACAGTCGGTTGACCATGACTTTTCGATTGGTTCTAACAATGTGTGAATAAATCAAGAATCGAAAAATCAATAAATAATAAATCATCGCATTGCGATGGGAGAAGTGTGAAAAAGTTATATTCTTTTGGGGTGGCGATGGTGCTGCGTGCGAAAAAAGCACACAGGAAATTTACCGTCTGACAGTGGCCGTTCGCAAAGGAAGAAATTTTTCTCATTGCAATCACGATCGTTCCACATGTAGGTCAATGTCACCGGAACAATTTTTGATTTTGCTTGGATGGCCGGCGGGATGCGAAAGTATCGACGGAGCTCAACGCAATCCTGTGCACTCAAACCTAAACGACCAAACGAACGAAGATTACACGGTAAAACAGAAACGAATTTTATGGCCGTGTGAGAAAATTCATAGAACAGAAAACATACCGTCATCATTTGGTTGCTTATTGTAGCTGCTGTGCTCCGACCAGCCTGGAAACCAATTGGAAAATGTATACGGAAAGCCATTCGTCCAACGAAAATCACCCTCAAATATTTCATCCGATGCACCGATCCAATAAGCAATATTCGATCGAAATGTTGCGCTAAATAAGAAAAAAAACGAAATCGAACATTATTTTTTATGGCATTCACCGGCCTCGTTCTTACACCATCAACCATCTATAGACAGAGATTCAGAGAGAAGCAGAAAAAAACGCACGCGTTCTTCTTACCTATTCATGAGCAGTGTATCGATAAGTTTTTGCTCTCGTTCCGATTTAATCGAAGCCAAATGTCCGCCAAGTCTTTTGCAATGGTTCTCTGCTTCTTTCCATGGCAGTGCCATTTCGACGGCCGATATACAAAATTGGTTCACAGCGATCCAACCAAAGGCACATTGTGACACAATTTCGGGTATGGGTATTGCTGTATATTCTATGTAAACTGATGGTCTATCATATAAACTATCGACAATATTTTGTTTGCTAGTGCTATCAGCACTGGTTTCACTACCGCCATCATTGCCTCCGTCATCATCATAAAATATCCGTGTTACATGGATGAGCATTGAGTTGCCCGTCGATTTGAATGAAAACTTTTTTGCTGGACTGTCGCCATTTATACAGTGTGACCATTTTTCATCGTTTGCATCGCTGATGCTTATCGCAATGCCCGGGCAAAAATTCACATTTTCCACATACTGTGACAGCATCAGATCCACATATTCATAGTCAATGTCATCGATGCTGCTGCTATCTTTGGCCTGATTCGGTCTCATCACAATCTCGCTGCCATTGTGCATTGACGGCGAAGATGTTGATTTTGTATAGAAATTTTGAAATAAATTCAATTCAATTTGATTGCCATACGGTAGATGCACAAGAAAATAGCATTCCAATTCATGGCGTGGCTCGAGCAAAAATGAACTATTACGCGACGTCATTGTGACATTATAACAGTAGTCGACAAGCTTGAAATTCAAGCTAAACACTGGATTCCGATCAAATTGTATGCTCATATTTTGCTGCAACGGAAAATAGTAGACACGTTCGTTCGGTGCGATGTCTTCAAGTTTTCCGCACAGTTTATCATGACCGTTGAGCGTGATATAACTGCCACTATCGCATGGAATATTCAGTCGTTTTATTTCAATCAGTAGGCCCGGTGATTCGCTTGTGAGTGGCTCACGCGAAGGAAAGTAAATTACGCATTTATCGTATTGTTGCTCGGGTAGTGCAGCATAATCCACATTTCCAATTGTATCTTTCATGTATAATATGCAATCTGGCGAAAAGAGCGAGAGAAAGAACGAAACAAAATGGTTTGTTGTATTTCATTTCTTTCTTTCTTTCTTCTGCAAATGCGTTAACACCAAACAAAGCCCATTCCCATTGTGTGTGTGTGTATTCAGCATAAATAATCGATTAAATAAAGAAACAACCATCGATTCATCCGCACACACACACACACACACACACACACACACACACACAAATGAAATTCTACAACAATAACAGCAATAAAAGAAACGCAATGAACATTTCTTACCATCTCTCAGATTAAACGTTGCCGTCATTTCGTATACATCAAAACTGAATTTTCGTCTAAATAAAAGTCTAAATGAAAAAAGAAAAACGAAGAAGAAAGTATGTGTTATTCATTGCAATCACTTATTCAGCAAGTGAAATGAACAGCAAAGTGAGTGTGAAGTAAAAACGGAACGAAAAACGGAAAAACTTTTACACGCACCTAAAACTAACAGTCTTGTTTATCAAATCAGCTTTGCTGTACGACCACCTCCTCGTAAATTGCGTCATTCGGCTGCCTGGAATCACGTTTTCGCTCCAGTAATCTTGAGTGCAGTGATCGGTTATGTGGTTGCTCATTTTCCATCTTTTGTTTCTTCTTCCTATGCTAAAATTAAGTGCTAATACGCTGTTAGATGGGATTGGCGCTGTCATATGCTGTTCGACATTGACGCTTGGTATTTCAATGCCACTTTCGTCAACGCGAATTTTTTTCGCCGTTGACGACGACGACGATGACGATAATGACGAGGATGACAATGACGGTGTCGCTGCCATCATCGATACATCGTTGCCATTGAAGTGATTGGCAAACACTTTGCGATTACTAAACTCGTCTTTGGCTTGCGTGTGATCGCCATTATAGCTTGAATGATGTTGCTTATGCTTTCGATGCCAATTCACTGGTGTATCACTTCTAAATACACCTTTGTGCATTCCATCGATGCTGGCTTCCACATAAAAGTCGGTAATACTCTCGTTTTTTGACAATGTCACATGGACTATATATTACATGGATTCGTTCGTTCGCAGAAAGAACAAGGAAGCGAGAGAGACGAAAAAGAAACGAAAAGAAGAGAGAAAAATATTGGAAACATGTGTGAATAAAATGAAAAAAAAAATAACAACGACAAATACAGATATTGAAACGACTTTTATTCATAACGATGTGCTTGTCGGTTGGATCTTCTACGTGTTTCTTTGTGTTTAGTTTTATCGCTTTTAGCAACAAAGACTCTTAACATGAATTTCCCAGTTAAAACAACAGCCATCGTCAATGCGCTGAATGGATTTATGTTTTCATGGACTTTTTTACGGTCTGACATTTACACCGAGTTGTGAAATAACAATAGCACACTCAACGCGGTACATGTGTATATATATTGAACTTTCGCATTATTTGCTTTTTACAACAGTCTTCAAACTTCTTTTCACTCATCGCTCTCCATCGTCAGCTAAACTGGGTAGTAGCAGCAGCAGTAGCACGTATTTATTTTGCCTGGGTGAACTACTAATGCTAAGAGAAGTTCATGTGTATCTTTACCGCTTTCGTTTTCTCATAGAATACCATTTGAACGGCGTACGCAAAAACCATTGGATTTGTCAAAGTGTGTATACTTTTTTGGATGGAGGGTTATCGTGTTGCTAAGGTTTTGCAAGAGTTTCATCTGGCTAAAATTGAAACCGATACGAATATAACGCTTCGTAGCACTGATGGCGACATAGAAGATGACAACAGGCCGACATCCGTTGCATCCTGAATCGGACAAGTGGACTCAATTCCAGTTTAATTGACTGTCACAACGTGTATTACACAATATGTGCATAAAATATCAATATCCACTTCCTTTTTCGGGTTTCGATGTGACCTCAGTTGAATACTTGTTTGTCACACAAACAAATAGATCACATCGGGTTCGAGTTCATGTTTAGATTATTTGATCTTTGAACTCGATTTCCTTAGAACTTTTTTTTCAAGCATCCCATTCATATTTGCCTACTTGTCCCATTTTCTTCATTTTGTGTGTGCGAACTATTTTAATGTCACTATTAGGGCTTGGATGTGCCTATGCAGTGTATTCACCTTCACCATAGCAATGTTTTTAGTTCTTCTTCAGATGCTTCGTTGTTTTTCTGAAGAAATCTTCCCAAACGAATGGGGACAAAGTGAAATTCTTTGCATTTTGATTTGTTAAGAGCGAGAAAAAAACTACGGCAAACTTTGTTTTTCTTTGAATGCAAATTGAATTTTCCGTACATTTGCTGAATCATCGTCAACGTTTTGCCCGTGCACATAAATATATGCCATGGAAAACGGTACTCGCCACAAACACACACACACAGAGAGATAAGGACAGTAGGTTTGTTAGCCATTGCATGACCACTTCGCTTCACCGGAGTATTTTCCTTGGAAATTGTAAAACAATCCAAGATCTTTTTCTTTCATTCTACAAAGAAGAGGCTATCGGATAACACAATTTGGTTGAAGTATACCGAAAACTTTCAATGTTTCTCTCAATTTAGCTGTTCCGCACTGAAGTTTGTCAGAGTAAAAAAAAGGTCACTGTCTGACATTCAAATACACTGCCAACGGTATATTGTAGTCCAGTTTGTGCCGAATTGAAATCGGATAAATGAGATTGTCGAAATTGATAAGTGAAATACATGCGTCAATTTGATTGAAGGCTCTTCCCCAGAGAGAAGGATAAAGAGTGAGTGAGTGAGTGAGGGAGTGAGACCGAGAGAGAGAGAGAGAGAGAGAGAGAGAGAGAGAGAGAAAGAGAGAGGAGAACCACCAGAAGAGTACTACTTGCTGACCATCGAAAGCTCTTCAATAAGCAAACTTTTTCCATTTCAATTTAGTGCAAGATAATAATATGGAATGCACTTCATTGCATCGCTTTCAATCACACGGGGTTGCATATAATCCACGGATTAAAATTCCATCATTCCATCATAATACTCAACCAACCGACCGCACAATATACATGATACAAATGCAAATGCAAAATTCCAACACATACCTGTATAGAAAACGTTTCGTACGAGTCCATCGGTCGCATCGAACAGGTCGTGTTTGACGTCAATCGAAATGGGCACATGATTCGAATGGCTGGAACTATTCGTTGGCGCATCCAAGTTGAATGTAGCATTCGCTTTCAACAAATGATCTATGTTGACAATTTTACGTGTGTGTGCTTTCGTTATTAGATATTCATCGACGCTTAAATTTTTACAAGGCTTTTGGTTTAACCGAAATAGATTTTCCGGCAATTTAACGAATTCATTTGGTAATTTATCTAAATTTGCTTCAGTGCTGTTAATGACTTTGATGCTAGATGCTGTTGCTGCGGGGGATGAAAAACAGACAAAAACAAAATTGATATGACAAAAATATATGTATGTGGCTCGTGTTTAGTATTTTTTTCATTTTGGAGGGTAGCATGTGGATGGCAATCGTCATAAATGGATATGATGATGATGTTAAGCGGTTGCCCACATTTAGGTGGTTAACAATTTTGATGATAATTAAAACTTATTTTTTTGCTGTTGCTGTTTGACAAACCAAAAATGAATACCTGGTTTTGATGCGGTTTTCTCTAGTTTTTCGATTATCTTGTGATGTGCGGCGGCTGAACTTCCATGCGATTTCCTAATATGTTCTCTATGCCTATTATTTACGACAGAGTCGTTTGGTGATGATGGCGGCGGTAGTGGTGGTATTTGTGGTGACGATGATGATGGTGGGGGTGGTTGTTGTTCGCTAAATCGACGTTTATTTTGAACATCATCAGTTGTATCGACATTGGATGAGTCGGGCTGTTTCGTATCGGCTACATGAATGTGTGGTGTTGTGGCTGCTGTTATGGTCGTGATGTCACTGCTCAATTGGCTGGTAGTCGCCTTCAATTCGGGTGGTCCCGGTGAGCGTCCGGGTGCTGGGTCACCACTTAAGCCACAGCATGCATTTAACACAAACGCAGTGAGCACAAACACCAACAAACTGAAATTCATTTTCTCCACACTTTCGTTTCGTTCTTACATTTACCATATATATTTTTTACTGTTTCAATTTCACTTCTTACACACTGAGAATGAGAGGGAAAAAACAACAACAACGACGACGACGATGACGATGTTTCAACTACACTTACAACAAGTTTAAAAATATTTTCAATCTGGACTTACTTTCGTTCGACGTTTTTATATTTAGAATTTGGATTTATGTGTTACATGTTTTTTCTACATCATCATTTGAGATTGTTTTTATTTCATTTTTTGTTTTCTTGTTCGTTACTTTCAACTCTCCTATTTCTATTTGCCATCAATTATCGTTTGCATGTTTAATAATTGGCCGCTCTACATTTTTACGAAACATCTGAAGAACGAACGGATCGATGCGTTCTGTAGTGGTAGAATAAAAGAAAAACACTGAATGAATTTGGATATTTTCCGAATTAAAAACAAAAAATTCATGATAAGTGATTGTTCAAATATTGTTGATGTGAATGCATTGCATGGTGATGATGATGATGATGATGTATGATGATGTTGCTAACAGAAAAAATAAGATTTTCATGACCTTATTCTGTTATTGAAACTGACAATTTATAGAATCAAGAGAAAAAAAGAATCAACAACGAAGAGAGGTACACTCAATTTTATGGAATAAATACGAGCGAATGTCAGTTGACAGCATAATTTAATGTGACGGGATATGAATGTCGAAAATCCTACAGCAACAGCCGAATTCAAATGATGACGCTAATGAAAAGATAGCTTTTAGTGCTTGACTAATGCGTTAAACAATTGGATTAAATTATTGAATTGTCTTCGTTGGATTGCTTGAATATTAATGCATGTGTCCAGCGTTCAGCGTTCGATGACCAACAGGCATGTTATCATGATACTGATCAGGCTGGCAACATGAATTTCTAATGATAACATACCGTTTAAACACACCAAAAATTCCAACCCACTTCTCTCAATCATCCGAATTGACAAGTGGAGCATATTGGACGCCCCCGAAACAACACAAAATAGACATTCATTTCAACGGCGTGCACAGTGCACACACTTGCGTATACAAGACGAATACGCGATTGAAACCATTCGATACTTCAATCAGCCATTTTCGCTCAGAGAAATGATGCGGTTGAACTTTTGGCGTTAAACCAATTATAGTTTCATATTTTACTGGCACTGCAATTTTTTTTAGTCAAACATGGACACTCTTTTCTTGGCGGCTATGAAGAATTGTAGCGAAATTATTTGTTTGATGTGGATTCTCTTTGTTTGCAATTTTTTTTCTTTTCGTTTTTTCCCCCATCAAAATCCATAAAATTGCACATAAAATGTGTCTAGAACATATTTTGCAGACTTGACGAAACATCTACATCGATATCAAAGTTTTTTTTTTCCCATTATTTTCGCTTCATTAAAGGTGGCTTATGTGGAACTTCTATGCAAAATCCATTTTCACACAGCAACAACAGCAGCAACGAACATAACCAACAGCGACCAATTCCTCTAAATGCCCGATTAATGTACTCATTCATTTCATTTATGTGAGAATTTATTTGACAAAGTAGTCGATTTGTAGGAGCGGTCCTAGAATATTTAGTGGTGAAACTTTTTCTTACTTTGGTTGGTGAGAATGAGGAAGGGTGGGGGGACGACAAAAATGACAGCACGGAAAAACGGTTTGAAGTGTGTTTTGCAAAATTAATTAGATCCAATAAAAATGTTGCATCTCTCGTCCGTGCTGTGTGAGTGTATCATGACCATCAGAAAATGAATCGTGTCACCTGAGCGAATTTTTTTTTCTTTCATTTTGTTTGAATATTTTATGCGTCGCTTGAAAACTCAAAATGGTTTATGTATTAAGTGTGACAATAGCGAATTTTCGTTGTTAGGTTCCGTGTGAACGGTGTTCGTCTCTGTGATAAAACACATTTTTAACGCTGAAATTGCAATTTTTTTGAAAGTTACTTGTGGACACATCAAAAAACCTTGGAAAACTCTCACTGCCACGTTTTATTTTCCATTTTATTTTCGTTCGTTCGGTGTTTTCTTCTTCATTTCAATTGATCTTCTTCGGGCTGGTTTTTTGTCGTCATCGTTGCTACAAACTGTTTATTTCTTCTATACAACATGGATATATTCTATGTATGAAATAAAAAAAGACTACGTGTAGCACATTTGGATGTATTTATGTGAAACGTGTGCTTCAAATGGGTAATGTGCAATACAGGGATTTAATTAATCGTAAACATGCGAAAATTTAGTTACGGCATTAAAAGCCAAAACTGTCGACGAAGACGATGACGACGACAACGACAACGACAGCAGAAGCGGTGGCGGCGTTAGCGATGGAATCAACAGCGACGAATAAAATATATTTGGTAAATTAAAGTCAACGCTGCAGCGAAGCCTTTTGTGTGTTGCTGTTGGGTTAAATGGTGGAGCAATCCAAAGAGGAAATATGTTGGTGTTTAGATAAGGAGAAAACATTAAAACTGAACGATTTTTTTTAAAAGGCAGATCAACTGTTTTCACGGCAATTCTGCGTTCTTATTGGCTAAACATTGAAATTGGGTATTAAATTGGCGTGTGTCTGAAATGAAGGGTTGCTTATGAATGCGGCAACATTTGCACAATTTAATAAATCCCAATCGTTCGATTAGTAGACATATCATAAGTCAAATTATTGGATATTGAATTCATGAGTGACAAGGGTTGAGGAGGAGGTGGAAAATGGAACAAAGCATCTGGGTGGCCGGCCAGACAGACAGACACAGCCGAACGAAAACATATTAGTCATCGGTTTTGCAATTCATTGCTGCGTTAAGTGTGTATGTGTGAGTGGTGGTGGTGGTGGTGGACCACTGGTGGTGGTCAACTGCTTGTTCCAAAAGAATTGTTTTGTATTTGTTTGTGACTTTCAGATCGGACGATCCTTTTTTTCTCTCTTACTTTTACTTTAGCTTTTGCCGCAGCTTTTATATTCAACCAACTTAATTAGACCTTTGTGAATAAACAGAAAAAAACATCAATAGTCATCGCTGAGTCGTGTGAGCAGCTCGTTTGTTGCTACGAGCGAACAAAAGTCACCGAAACCCACTTAAAATGACCGCAAACCAAGTGCTTCAGCTTTTTAACGTGAGAAAGCATACACTCGGTACTCGGCTCGGTTTCACTTGCGTCTTCTTCTTTTTCCCCGTTGTTATTACTTCAACCAAAGAGATTCTGTATTCTTGAGCATTCAATTATTTAGTCTGTAATTTGGTTGAGATTTTTGCGAGAGACAGATTCAACATAACACCAATTCTATCTGTGCTGTTGAAATGCTCAAAATGTAATAGACATTTTTCCTTTGTGCTTTTTTTCGGTTCATGTTGCGATAAACGGCCGATAGGGAGAAAGAGGGGAACAAATCGCTTGATTCTTTTTTTTGGGATTGTGTATATATCCGGCACGTTACATCAAATACAAATACAAATCCAATATCTACATGTGCGACTCTTGAATATCTTCCTTCTTCCACACATCCAAAAGTCATCCGATAAAAAAGGTCTTTATACAAACAGAACATTGTCTCGATTTGGTTCAGTTCCATTGAATCGTCTCAATGTTTGTATTTAACAACATGGCAGCACCGCATATATGCCAAGTTCTCTTGAATCGTTGTTGACTGTTAAGTGAACAAATAGTCATGGCCTTACCCCAAAAAAAAAAACGAAAGAAAAGAGAAGAGAGAAAGAAATCAACCCATAGAAATCAACTTACAATACTGTCGCCGATATTCGTCTGTGTGTACTGCTGATTGTGTACCGACTGATGTCACTCAACGTTTCTATTTATTCAAGCTCTTTTTTTCTCATTCGCTCTCTCGCTCATCCTCATCGGATTTAGCCTCATTTAACGCTTTGACTCGACCATTTCAAGTAGCGAAAAATCCGTGAGAGAGAGCCGCAAAAACGATACTTAGCGAGAGAACAGGAGATATACGTGTATATTTCAAAAGAAACGTATTTTCCGTCAACCATTCGCTACTGTCGGTTAACGACTTGCAATTGAGTTGTTGTACATTGTACATCAATCAGCCATCCATGAGAATTTACTCGTTTCGCCACCCCCACCACCACCACCGTCATCGTCATAGTCATCGTATATGTATATATTGTGGCGGTAAGAGCCTACGGCACACTTTTTCATCGTGTTCCGTACAATATACAGTGTGCATTATAAATAAAATCATTCGCGCACTGGAAGTCGTGCTCATGCATACTAATTACGAAGGTTTTCGTTCCCTTTATTGTCGTGCATACAATTTTTTTATTATTATTATTATTTTGCTCTTTGTTCTACAGCTGTCACTTTATTAACATATTAATAATTTATTAATATATTTTTTTATTAACATATTAATAATTTATTAATATTTTAATAAAATGAATTTTTTATTAACGTTAATAAAATATAGTGCATTTTATTAACATATTAATAATTATTAGTATGGTAAATTTTCGGTTATTAATATGATGTAGATTTTATTAAAATGTTAATAAAATGTGGTTATTAATATGTTGTCGATTTTATTAGAATTCTAATAAAATCAACAACATATTAATAACGATATTTTATTAGAATTTTAATAAAATGTGGTTATTAATATGGTGCCGATTTTATTAGAATTCTAATAAATTCGACAACATATTGGATTTGGTTAAATTGATTTTGCTTGACCAAAATGGGAAAGTGTCTGACCAAAATGGGAAAATGTTTGACGAAAATCGGAAAATGTTCGACGAAAATCGGAAAATGTTTGACCAAAAATCGGAAAATGTTTGACCAAAATGGGAAAATGTTTGACGAAAATCGGAAAATGCTTGACCAATGTGGTGGGAAATCGTCTGACCAAAATGGGAAAATGTTCGACGAAAATCGGAAAATGTTTGACGAAAATCAGAAAATGCTTGACCAACCGAATTTTACTTTAAAAAATGTGAATTTGTTAAAAAAAATTGAATAAATTTTTTGATTCCATTTTAAATTCTCAATGTGTTCGTCCCATATAATAATATTTTGTATAAATACATTCAATTGTGGCGCGGAAAAATGGGTAAACAATGCTTAGAATGATTTTTATAACAAGTTGGTGCCAATTAAGCCACCTTTAACTAATAAAGAAAATAAGAACTATCATAATGTTCCTACTCCAGTCTGTGATACTTTTTTAATTGATTTTAACACGAGTACAAATACTGTTAAACAGAGGATTAATGAATATTTTAAAAGAAATAGATTATGGAGAGAGTAATAAATTTTATGCAAATATACACAAATGACAATCTCAAAACTGAGTGAAACTACTTGTCAAATTAGACAACGTATGCAAACGG